TACATGAGTCAAAAATTATGGAAAAGTAAAAGAAAGGATTCTTTCATTGTTTTACAAACCCTCCCCCAGGTCCCCTCCACCATGTAGCCCTCGGCTCCAGCGGATTTTCAAAGGCAGTTAGTCATATGAGAGGAGATTGCCCATCTTTCTCCTATGAAGCAGCTATTGGATTTGAACCACCTGCCTTTGGGTTGGCAGTGCAACTCCTTACACCCACAGCTCCCTATTGTATAGTGTGTTGTGTTGTGGTGTCATGTAAAGTGACTAAGACAGATCTCCCTGGGTTCCAAGACCAACTGTTCTGGTTTCTACTTGGCACTTACTGGAAAAACTCTGTATCTTCATAGATCTCAGTTCTCTCACATATAAAATTGGGGGAAAAATACCTATTTTACAAAGACTTACCTTGAGGAGGTGAATTGGGATGAGAGAGGTAAATACAGAGGATTATGCTTGGCACATAATGTGTTCAGTACATAGTAGCTATTTTATTTATTCTTTCTCTCTCTCTCCCTCCCCCTCCTCCTCTCCCTCCCTTCTCCATCCCCGCCCCCTCTCCCTTTCCTATCACAATCATTTAACTTTTTTTGGAAATGAAAAGTTGTCATGATTTCCTGTGGAGAAAAGGATAGAGACCCTGGAGGGATGTTCTGTAGAACAGGGCAAAGTGGATACCTTCTCTATTTATAGCTGCTACATAGAAAAAGAAGGCATTTACTTTGAAGCATCAGTCTAGGCATGGCTTCCGTCGTTCTAAAAGTCTTGCTAAGAAAAAGAGTTGGTTGAATTAAACAGTTACATGGTGACGGAGTGGATTTATCATCTTTCACAAGCTCCTTAACTCCTCATGGGCAAATCACCAAACGTTTGGGTTACATTTTGAAAGGCATCCAGAAAGGTCTCATTTCTCACTTCACTTCTGGCTTTTCTCTTGTCTCCAGGGAAGACTCGGGGCACGCCGTGTGGGAAGACCTGCCGTGAGGACAGGGATGATGAGTGGATGGGGGTGAGCCTGGCTCGGCAGCCCAAGGCTAATGGCAAAGTGCTGGTAAGGCCTCTGGGGCGCCATGGGAAGGGGGACCCCGAGAATGAATGCCTTCCGTGCCTTAGGAAGGTTGCAGGGCACAGTGACAGGGACGTGGCTTTGACTTTGCCTGTTCTGAGCCTGTTGCTGGCACAAATGACGAATGTTTTTATTCTTTTCATCTGTTATATTCCAGTAGCATCTGACTCAGGGTGCAGACATGTAGCTACTGAAAAAGGATGGGTTAAGTTAAGTGCTTGTGGAAAGTGCTTTGTAAACTTCACTCGTTAAATAAGTACCCTTTCTGTCTTTTAAAATGGAGATATCATGTACCCAAAATGCACAGATCTTAAGAGCATGTTTTTGAGTCATAACTGTTTATACCTGTGGAACCATCATCTCATCAAGATAAAGAATATTTCTGTCATCCTCAGAAATTCTCATATGGTCCTTTCCTGTTAATGCCCTTCCCCTGAGCCCCAAGGCAAATTGTCCTATGATTTGTTTTTACCATAGACTGTTTATGCAGTTCATTTCTGTTTATTCCTCCATTACATTACATTTGATGAAGGCTGTTCTGTTATTTCATTAACTGTTTTTTTTTAAAAAAATTAAATTTTTAAAAATTAATTTTAATGAAAGTTTACAGAGACTTAGGGTTTCCAGTCATTCACTGTTGCACTTTTCATGTGTACTGTCAAATTGGATCTGATTGGTACAGGAGGAGATTGCCCCTCCTTCTCCAGCAGAGTATCTGGTGGATTTGAACCACGTGCGTCTGGGACTGCAATGCAGCTTCTTGCCACTAGGCCACCAGAGCTCCCTCGTTTCATTGACTCTTAAAGCACATTTGAAGGATTTTTTTTGAAGGGTGACTAAGGGTCCTAGTATGAGTTCCACCAGTCTCTGTCAGACTGCTCTGGCTGGCCATTACTGTCATTTTTAGTTTTGTTCTACATTTTTCTTCCATTCTGTCCAGGACCCTCCACTGGGGTCCCTTTTAGAATGGTCAGGACTGGTGGCTGGGTACCATCCAGTTCTCCTGGTCTTAAAATTGTGAAGCTTGAAGTTCTCATGATGGATTAGTCATCTGGACTAATTGTTCCTGTTTAACTCTTGAGTTTCTTCTCTTTCTTCCAGACACAGAGAGAACTCAGTAGTTGAACCTTATATAGCCACTAGCAAGCTCCAAAGACCTCAGATGATACTCACCAAAGTGGGATGCGAAGCTCTGTCTTTGTGAACTATGTTGTACCAACTGGTCTTCTTGTCCTCCTGAAACTGTAGTCCTCAGATGCCATGTGCTGACCAATTAAGTGCTTTGGGAGAGAAAGAGAAGGATGAAAGGATGGCCTGCCCTTGAGGTTTTTCTGTCTCTGAAAGCGGCACTGTCGAATAAGATAGCCATGAACATTTGTAGTTGTTTAGCTTTATCAAAATAAAATAATTGGAGCTCCCCAGTCACACTGGCTGCATTCCAAGTGTTCAACAGCCCCTCTGATTGTTGGCTACTGTGTTGGACAACCAGAGAGAATATGGATTCAGCAACAACAAAAAAGGAAATTACTGACTCTGGCAGATGTTTTGTTTTCTTTTCTTTTATTTTCTAAAAAAGCTGGTTTTTAACCAAAGTTTTTTGTTGAAGTAAAAACTAGAACCTACAGACTGGAGAAAATATTTGGCAATGACATATCTCATAAAGGACTCACACCTAAAAATACATGGAAAAATCTAGCATCTCAACAAGGAAGAGACAGACAGTTCAGTTGCAAAATGAGTAGAAGATACGAAGAAACTTGTCATCAAAGAAGACATGCAGATGACCAGAAAACACATGAAGCAGTGCTCAAGATCACTGCTTTTAGCTGTTAGAAAGACGCAAATCAAAATGACGAGGAGATAGTATCTCACTCCAGAAACAATAACAAAGTTTCACAGAGTGGCAAACAACAAATGCTGGTAAGGGAGCAGTGAAATAGGAACAAATAGGAAGGAACTCTTCATTCACTGCTGATGGGAATATAAAATGACGCAGCTACTATAGAAGGCAGTTTAGAGTTTCCATTACACAGTGAAAATAGCACTATCAGTTGATCCGTCTAGTCTATTACTAAGAATATATACTAAAGAAATAAGAGCTGTGACAACAGCATATATACACACATCCACGCGTATTGTAGTAAAGAGATGGAAACAACCCAAGTGCCCATCAACAAACAAGTGGCTTGAGAAGCTGTGATACATCCACATAATGGAATACTTACTGTGCAGAGTTAAAAAAGGACGAAGAATTCACAAAATATTCTACAACATGGATAAGTCTAGAGGACATTATGCTGAATGAAATAAGCCAATCATAAAAAGACAAATACTGTATAAGACCATTGCTTTAAAAACTAGAGAAGGGTTTACAGGTGGAAAAAATTGACCTAGTATGGTTATCGGGGAACGGGGGAGAGTGGACAATAAATGGCTAGACGATGAATACTGTGTTGGAATGGGAGAAGGGAAGGGCGCTGTGGATGAATGGAGAATCAGACATTGTGTGTACAGTAATTGTTGTTATGTGCCGTCGAGTCATCTGTGACTCATAGCGACCCTATGTACAACAGTCCTAAACGCTGCTCTATCGTGTGCCAGTCTCTTGTCTCCGACACACCTACCCCGATTACCCCAGTCACTGAATCAATCCACTTCATAGAGGGTCTTCCTCTCCTGCATTGTCCCTCTACCCTCCCAAGCATGACATCCCTCTCCAAGGACTGGTCCCTCCTTGTAACATGCCCAAAGTATGCCAGACGAAACTTCAGAATCCTTGCCTCCAAGGAGCAACACAAATTGTTAATGAATCTTCCTCCAATCAGTACAGTTACTAACGTTATAAAAAATACGCGTTACTGATTGGAAACCCCCCTACAATATGCATACAAATACCTTTCATACAAATCACAATGAAAATCTTACTGGAACACGTATATGTAAAATAGACACGAAACCTAAAATGCTTGATGTACATGACTTGGAGGGTGCACCAGGGGAAAGTTTCTTGGGTGATGTTTTTATACATCCTCACTTCTTTTCCCCAGGAAGGTTCTATACATCATTTCTACGTCAATACTCTCCTGCCAGGGAGTTCTTCCCTTTTTATTCTCCAGTTCCAGCTCTCTGCACATTCCATTATAATACTTGGCTTTGTTCTCTCAAGCTGCCCTTTGAAATCTTCTGTTCAGCTCTTTTTTTTTAAATTTTTTTAAAAAATTTTATTATTTTTGTGTGCGTGTACCGTCAAATCAGATCTGACTGGTACAGGAGGAGATTGTCCCTCCTTCCCCGGCAGAGCGTCTGGTGGATTCGAACCGTTTGCCTCTGGGATTATAGTTGCAGCTCCTTGCCACTAGGCTACCAGAGCTCCCCTTGTTCAGCTCTTTTACTTCAGCATGTTTTCCCTTTGTTTTGGCTTCTCAACACTCTAGTAAAATTTTCAGAGTCTCTTCTGACTTGCATTTTAGTTTTTTCCTTTCTCCTCTGTCTTTGTAATGACTTTTTGCTCTCTTCATGAATGATATCCTTGATATCATCCCACAACTCACCTAGTCTTTGATCGTTGGTGTTCAGTACCTCAAACCTGTTCCTAAGATGATCCTGAAAGTCATATGGAATAGATTCAGGGTCAAATCTTAGTTCTTGTGGACTTATTTTCATTTTTTTCAGCCTCAGTTTGAACTTGTGTGTGAGTAATTGATGGTCTGACCCACAGTCCACAGCCAGAGGGCTCCTTGGAGGCAAGAATGATGAGGCTTCACCTCACATACTTTGGGATGTTGCAGGGAGGGGCTATTCTTTGGAGAGGGACATGATGGTGGGAAGGGTGGAGCATCGGCTAAGGAGAGGAAGACCCTCAACGAGGTGGATTGACACAGTGACTGCTGAAGTGGGCTCTGTAGTGTGTCAGGAAGTGTGAAGATGGCACAGGATAGAACGGGGTTCAGACCTGCTGTTCATACGGTCGCTATGAGCTGTACTCAACTCGACGGCACCTAACAACAACAACAACTCCTCTGCCAAGATAACCCGTTTTCTCACTTCATAGACTTCCCCGCCTCCCCATTCTCTGACTTACGTTCAGACGCGTGAAATTGAGAAGGGAAAATGGCACGTATAGCTGCCACCATCGACGAACTTCCTTTGGACAACATGCTGTAAAAGTGAAAGCTTTATATGTGCTCTTTAATCGCCAAGAAAACGGGTTTTTCTGTTTTTAAGGATTGAGGTAAAATGTTTCCGACATCTGTCTGAGAAGTCCACTTCTGTGGTAAACGTCTCACTGACAGAGGCTGTTAATACAAATTCCATTTCTTTCTCAGCACAAACCAAGGATTCTCCCTCTTGACTGAGTCCTTGAGGGTGAGAGGAAGCAGCTGGACGTTGTCGCCAGTGTTACCACCACATTCCTCCCGGGAACTGTTGTGAGTCCCATGGGGGCTGTCTCTTTCCACCCTCCGTTTGTCCTGTTTCCATCATTTAATCACTGACACCGCCTGGCCTTGTACCCTCTCCAAGTCTCAGCATTCCTGCAGACGCGGTGGCCTGATGATGACTGGACGGCTAGGTCCTCAGACGGTCAGAGCGCTCCTCTGTCATTCTGTGGGATGAAAGGCTCAGGCCCTTCTGTAAATCAAAGGGTGGCCCGAGGTCTCCATTTAGAACGTGAGGAGGAAGCAGTGGGCTGAACCTGCAGCTGGGGTTCCTCCTGTGAAGCTTTGTGACGGATAACCTTACGTGTCTGAGAACTTGATTCCAGACAGTGTGGCGGAATGCTCCGTGTCCCTACAAATGGATATCAAGATGGGACCATTTCTGGTGATTTATTAGCCGGTAGAATCACAAGGAAACAGAGAGGACCGAGCTGCAGTTCAATAGTGTTAACAGGATAATATTGTTACAGACAATTGCATTCTATTGAATTCCGTGCCAAGCTTGAATTCCATGCCGGCTTCTTTTATGCAGTTACTGACTTGTCCATT